CACGCTTGCACGGGCCCGAGCTCAAGCCTCGCATTCACATACACCACGCATTGAGCAGCCTGCTCCCGTGACCCAGCTTACTCCTGCAGCCCTGCCTACTCCTACAGCCCAGCCTGCTTCTGCGACCTAGCCTGCTTCTGTAATCCAGCCTGCTCCTGCAACCTTGCCTACTCTCGCAGCCTTGCCTGCTCTCACAACCCTGCCTCTCATGGTTTCCCAAGCAGCTCAAGTTGGCCCGAGAATATCTCAAATATCCAGAGCAACCATCGAGCCGGGGGCATTTTCATCATATTTCTCCGCGGATTTGACATTTCCCAATTCAAATCTTGCACCCGGAGTCTACCACACTTCCACTGCTCAAGGAGGCACATTCTTTCCAAGCTTTTCTAATCAAAATGGCGAACAACACTTGTCTCGACAAGTCATAAAGTTGACGAGCGCCCTTGCACAACAAACAACCTTGGTGAATCAACTCTTACAACACATTAAGATCCAACGAGCCCCAGACGAGGTGTCCCGAAGTAGGACAAGGGCAGACGAACCTCTCCACCAGCGTCCCGGTAAACAGCCCCTTAACCAGCCACATTCCAAGCATTCTGGCAGTTTACGCTCCCGTCTGGGTCATTGGGATAGCGTATACTCTTGTCTTAGCGCGCAGAGGAGCGTGCATTCCCAATCAAGCCCACGGACGAGCATACGTTCACCATTGAGGTCACACTTCGATTATCAACATGGACAACCTTCCATGTGAAATGTTCATTCATAACTAGGCTCGTAAGAAGCATTCTCCACTTCACATCGGAATAGGTAGCACGGTAGACAGATAGAAGCAGTCACTCAATTTGACTCAAGTTCAACCGGCAGCCTGTGAACGGCCCGTTCGCCTGCCAAGTATATGCCACATGCGCTGCAGCCGTGACATGGATGAGTCGACCATAGGGAAGAGCGGCCTAGACCCATAGGTCACGATTGGAAACAGCCGAAAGTTCCACTGCCTCAGCATAGGCAATTTCAAGAAGAAGTTGAGAGACTCATAACCGAACAATTGTATAATTTCCAACATAACGAGCCTGCTGACGATGCGATTCGACGAGACATGACCAACATAAGCATGTCACCATTCACGAATGAGATCGAGCGGACAGATCCACCTCGCGGGTTCACTATGCCTCACTTCATTCCGTACAAGGGAGACGAAGATCCAGATCGACATCTCAAGCACTACCGCAGTACCATGATCCTTTACAGGAACACCGATGAGCTTATATGTAAAATTTTTGCCACAACTCTACAAGGCGAGGCTCAAGACTAGTTTCACACTTTGTCGTCGCAGTCGATCCGGAGTTTTAACGAACTTTTGTTTTCACTAAGGAGTATTCATCTAACCGCTCAATCAAAAGGACATCCGACCATCTCTTCAGCATCGTAAAAGACCATTGGGAGACAATTCACGACTATGTCAAGAGATTCAAAGCGGAGAAGGCTAAGATTGTTGGTTGCAATGAAAACATAGCAACGGCAGCATTCAGAAATGGACTTCCCGCCGAACATCCTTTATTCGAAAAACTGATCATGGGAGAAGAACTAACCCTAGTAGCTTCGTATGCTTTAGCAGAAAAACATGCACTATGGGACGAGGCTAAGCAGTCTAACAAAAACGAGTTAGAAAAGAAGCAAATGGAACGTTCCCCAACCAGAGAAGACTCAACGCCTAAAACATTCACCAAATTCACAGTTTCAATCGCCAAATTATCCACAAGCTCAAGAACGAACCTTGGTTCGAATTGCCGCCACCCATGAAAGACGATCTTACCAGGCTGGATCATACAAAATATTGCGCATTTCATCAAGGACCAGGCCACACTATTAACGATTGCCTGAAGTGGAAGCAGTATCTTGAGAAGCTGACAAATGAGGGCCGATGTGACAAGTATCTTGACAAGTCAACGAAACAGCCTACACAAGCAGGGGAAGTCTCCATCACCCCCTAAACCTCGTTTGGGTTTTTTCCAAATAAGTTTGAAGTCTCGACGAACAAGGTTTCACAAGCCGAAGATTATCTAGTTTGTTATGCAGTTTCTGCCTTCCAGAACAATAGATTTATTTCTTTATTCTCAATGAAGATTCAAAAAGTTATTCACAAGCATGACTCAACTGCTGTCCACAACGATTGCTAAAAACCTAAAAGGGTCTGCTCTCCAGTGTGAGAGGATAAACTAATTGCTCTTCAGTGCGAGATGGTAAACTAATTCCCCTACACCCAAAATGGTATACTCTCCAGTGCAAGAGGGTAAACTAATTGCTCTCCAGTGCAAAAGGGTAAACCAATTCCTCGACACCCATATGGGTTTGCTATCCAGTGCGAGAGGGTAAACTAATTGCTTTCCAGCGCAAGAGGGTAAACTAATTGCTCTCCAGTGCGAGAGGGTAAACCAATTCCCCGACACCTATATAGGTTTATTCTCCAGTGCGAGAGGGTAAACTAATTGCTCTCCAGTGCGAGAGGGTAAACTAATTCCCTGACACCCATCTGGGTAAGCTTTCCAGTGTAAGAAGGCCACATAGCTTAAAAGATCGAATGCTTGAAGATCAACTAGGCAGCAAATGGTCTAGCGGCAACAACCACTTCTGCACTTAACAGTTCGCTCATTCGACACTTCATCTACAGCAACTTCGATCTTGACAGCTTTATCCTTGACTGCTCCATTTACGGCAGCTGAGAAATCAATCTCAAGTAGTTTCCTCATTTTTTGCAAACAGCTCAGACATGGCAGCCCAAACCCTTTCCCCATGCCACGCCACTTCCTCGCCTCATGACGAGCCAATTCTTGGCTGCAATGAAGCCGAGCAGCACAAGCAATGGCCCCTGCCGCACCACCTCATTGGCCCATGACAAGTCGACTCATGGCCCCTGCCAACCGATGTGCTGCACCATCCCGATGGCTACCCCGTGGCAGCACCTCCTAAGAAGAAGACAAGGAGAGTTAAGTTTTCCTTACATCGGTGCGGCGCAGAGAAGAAAAAAAAAGCAACGAAAGACGGTCCTTTGCACGGGCAAGTGTAGAAGATTGCTAGGGAAGGGGGAACAAATATCCTCTAAGCTTTCTCTCTCTTGTAGGGTAGAATAAATCACTCTCCAAAGTTGATTTAATAACCCACTTAAGGTGGACTTAAATAGGCTTTGAGAGAAATTTATTTCCCTTTCCTAGAAGGATATAATTTCATATTAAAGAGGGAATCTACATCAAAATAGGAAGCAGTCCTAAGCTTCCTAGAGCAAGAAGATTTCTACACCTGCTACCCTTTCCTACGAGCAGCCCAGCAGGTGTTGGGGCATTTGTGGAGCCAAAAATAATCACAAGGCGACACATGGATTTTTAGTAAAAAATGACCAAACTACCATTGAGACACACTGGGATTCCTACATATGAGCAGCAGAAAGAATGCTCCAAAAAAGGTAACAATTCAAGATTCATCTCATCAAATCCCCTTTTGCAAGGTAACCTCTAAAATATTCACTCCAAAATTATGTTAATTGGTTAATTAATGGATTAATCCATTAAATATCAATTAAATGATCCAATTAACCACAAAATACATCCACTTTAACCCCAAAGCTAGTCAAAGGCCGGCCATCCCCTTTGCTCTTTACATTTTTTGTCTTTTCTCACTTTATTATCCAAATTAAGTTAGTCAATTAATTCTATAACCCCCCATTTATTTCTTTTATGTTTAATTTGCCAATAAATTGGCTAATTAAACCAAAAATTCAACCAAACACCCATCAATTGGCCGGCCACTTTCTCTCCAAAGTGGACCGGCCTAGCCCTATAAATAGGCTCCCATTTTCACCCAACACTCATTCGAACACTCTTGCAAAAATCTCAAAATTCTCAAAATTCTCAAAATTCTAACTTTGGCATCGGAGGTTCTTCGGCCAAAGCCCCCCCCATTCATCGTGGGCACGTGAGGCTCTTGGCCTTGACCAAAGGTGTTAATTGTTTTGTAGGTGCAATTTTGTTCAAGATCAAGGAGGAAGAAATTTGCATCCACAAATTGGTGCTTTCATTAAGAGTTGAAATTCACACTCATAAAAGACTCTCGCATAAAAAGGTTTTTTTCTCTATTTTCTAGTCCATTTGAATATTTTTCATACGTTCTTATTATTAGAATTTTTTATTTGCAAAGGTTCTTTGATAAAACGTATAAGAAAAATATAATGGCTAGAAATTTAGAAAATTCCATAAGTGAAAATTCCAATACTCAAGAAATGGGATCACCGAGATCCATGAGGTAAAATGAGGTCGTAAGCAGAGTGGCACCACCACTACAAGGTTCCACCATGGCCCAAGCCATGCCATCCAAGCTTGCACGGGCCCGAGCCCAAGCCTCGCATTAGCATGCACCACGCATTGAGCAGTCTGCTTCCGTGACCCAGCTTGCTCCCTCATCCCTGCCTACTTCTGCAGCCCAGCCTGCTCTCGCGACCCAGCCTGCTCTTGTAATCCAGCTTGCTCCTGCAGCCCTGCCTGCTCCCACAACCCTGCCTCCTATGGTTTCCCAAGTAGCTCAAGTTGGCCCGAGAATATCTCAACTATCCGGAGCGAAGATGATGAATAGGAGGGAGAAAGAGATATCGGTATCGGATTGCTTTGCAGGCGGGGTTGGTTTTTCGTTTGATTTTCTGGTACATTTAAAAAGTTACAGCGAAGATGATGAACTAGTTGCAGTCGAAAGCGATGGGGTTGGATTGGAGGGTGGCTGGCGATGAGGGTTGATTGCAGGAAGTGTGGGAGATTTGAATTTGGGGGTTAGGGTTTGGTAGAGAGGGCGAAGAGGGGGAAGAAAGAGAGAGGGGGTGTTTTTTTTTTTTTTAATTTTTTTTAATTTTAATTTTGTTATTTTATTAATTTTAAATTTTTAAATATCCACGTGGCGCCCAGTCATTGTCCACGTGAATGCCACATCATCAGTTAACAGGAAAACTAACAGATGTACGAAACTGTCCCAAATTAAGACTTGAGGTATGACTCTGGGATGAAAAAAACTTCATGTACTAAATGTTGAAAGCCACAAAACTTCAAGATAGTAAACAGAGATTAACCCTATATGTTATGTACATCTTTAGATAACGAAGAAACGAAAACAAAACAGTTAACACTGAGATTAAATCTTTTTTGGCTATATCCCCTAAAAAGTTAATATTGTACACCTTGATTACATCAATAAAATCCTCTTGATCCTCTAGACTGATAAAGCTCCAGCCTACTTTTAGCTTCCGGTAACAATTGTTCGACTGACTCATCATTCGCCAAATGAGCCTGCTTTGTCGACCATTCTAGCACAATCAGTACCTCCTCCTGAGCAAGCGTCTCGCTGTCCGGAATATGCAGTGCAATGTAGCACAGCAGAATCAACGACGGAATCTGCACTCCGGATTCCCCAAAGTAAACCAGTTGAATCAGATGCTTGGTTCCCCCAGCGTCTATAATCGCTTTACAGTGATTTACGTGGAGGAAATTTTCAGTGCATGCAAACTTGTTCAGTGCAATCACAGCCGCCGTAGAAATACTCGTTTCTGTTTCATCGAGCAGCTTCACCAATGGGCCAATGAATCGCGTCTCGGTTGCTCTGAAAGTTCTTGCTAAGTTTCCGATCGCTTGTATGCACGGTTCAAGCAGGTCGGAGTCTGCCTTTTCGACTATTTTCAGAAGCTGCTCGACCACGGCTTTGCAGGCGGGGGATGTTGGCTTGAAAGCCGACCGCCTCAAGTCCGCATTCTGCTCAGCCACTGCGGTTATCTCCATCAGTGCTTTGGCCGAATTCTGCTGAACGTCCCAAGAACCTTTTTCTAGTAAAACTGCGAAACATAAAAGCGCTCTTGACTCCGTGATGCTGCCACAAACACTCGCATTCCCCTTGGAAAGCTTCCACAGTGCCCTCGCCGCCATTGCCTTCATCTCCGCCTTGGTTTCGGGGTCCTCGTACTCCCTCCCCTTGATGCTAGCCCCGGACAGCGCCACATGGTGATTGTGTGGTCTCACAATGTGGTGAGTTGGAGGTGGATGATGAAGGTTCTGGTGATTGCTATTCTGAGTCGGCTTCCCTTGGCCATGAGCAGAGTCAGGGGGAGCCGAACCCTGATTCTTCATAGTCATTGCGCTACTCACAAGATTCTGCATCTGACTAAACGTGTTTTGATTCCCCGTTATAGGGTGTGCCGTCTGATGCTCGGTGTTCTTGCTGCTCCCCATGACAATCGAGTGCAACGACATTTGTTGCTTGCTCGGTATGACGTACTTGCTATGCTCCTGAATCGTCTCAAAAGCGAGATGACTCACGAGCAATCGGATGACATTGTTTTGCGCAAAAGGGTCTTGGCATTTCGGATGATTCTCCGCCATTTCGGAGACTGCCCAGGCGACAAGCGCCTGGACTTTCATGTTGCCTTCTTTGAGGATTTTCGCAAACACTGGGCAGACTCCCGCGTTCACAATCTGTTCAACGCTTTCGGGGTCCTTTCCTAACAACCCAATTGCCCTGGCTGCGCTCTCCTGTCCTTCGTTTCCTCCTTCCTTCAGCATCTTCAGCAGCGGAGGCACCCCGCCTTCCTCAATAATCAGCCTCCCGTACCTGTCGTTGTCTTTTGCCAACGACACCAAAGAAGCTGCCGCATCCGATCGCTCCTCCATCGAGCCAGTGTGGAGGGTCGCAATCTGTTCCCAAATGAGGCAGAGGATGGGCTCGTTGGAGGCGATCGGGGGAAGCCCCAGATACTCGTCGTCGCGGTCGTCGGAGGAGGCTGAGACTCGGAGGAGCCACGACACGTCTCCAATGTTGTTGTCGAGGGACTGACCGATCCTTTTGAACGAGCCGCTGGGGATGATGGTGAAGACGCGTTGCATGAGGCCGGTGGCTCGGCACTTGATGACGAGGGTGAGGGCCTTGTCGAGGGCTTGTTCCGTATCGTCGATGATGCGACGCGTGGGGCGCTCGTAGAGATCGTTGCTCGCACGCGCTGCCTGGCGGAGGAGGCCGGCGAGCTTCTCGGTCTTGGATTTGAGCTCCATGCACTCTTGTTTGTTTGATTGTGCCTCGTCGGCGGCCTTGCTCACCTGGTCCGCCAATTGTATTGGCCTTGCCAGGATCTCCTTCACAATCGCCGCCATGGCCAAGGCCCCCCAAAACCTGAAACACCCTTAAACTGAAGAAACCCACCTCAGAAAATCCCAATCGGAGATGGGTTTTTGTCCTTCAACGATGTCAACAATGCAATGCGATTGTTCCTTTAATCATCATATATTCATGTTTATTTAATCAAAACATTAACGTAACAATGGGATCATTTTTATGGCAGATGGAGTTTCTTTGGTGTTCGGGTGGGGGAAGATTATGGATGCGTTTACATTCCCAATTGTGTATCAGTGATGGTGATGGTGGTTTTGGGGGTGGAAGAGGAGGGTGGCGCCGCCGGTACGAGGAGGAGGAAGAGGAGTTAATTATTATGGTGAAACGGGTTTTTCTCCAACTTACATGTGAAAAACCTACAATTCATGTTGACGTACGTTATATATAGCAAGTGAATATTGATTGGTCTAAACTCTCTTTGGATTTATTTTATCCAAGAAAAAACTCACTCTTGGATTTCCAAATAATATTTTGTTACATGAAGTTGTCCATAATATGCAGTATTGCATTGTCGAATTGTATTATGACAGATGCATATATACACCCATGTAGCAAACATTTTCTCTTTTGGATTTTTCACTGCCGATCAATTCCTCTACCATAAATGACCTAATTAATTTTTCTCCATTAGGGCTGCTCTCCTAAGGTCTTCTTTTTAAGGATTTGTGAGGATCTTTTTATATGAACCATTAGATTAATCTAATGGTAGCAAAACTGATGAGATTATATTATCCTGTTACACGGTGTAACTTACACCTAAACAAAATGAAATGCCAAAAAAAAAAAAAAAAAAAAAAATCATGCAGTCGGCAGATTTCGCAGAAATTATAGAACTAATATTCGAAATCGAAACGATCTAGTTATCGAGTCAAAGAAGCAACAAATTGTGAAGGTTTTTTCTTTTCCCTTGTACAACAATAATAGTCAGGCGGCATAATTTGATAAATCCACCACCACCTCCCCTTTCCTTGATCAAGGCTGATCCAAACTGTGAAGGCTTTTTTCTTTTCCTCCTTTTATTTTCTGTTTAATCTGTGTGTTATTTCCTGATGAGAGAAGGAGAAGATAATTGTAATCCATAACAGAATCCCAGATGCAATGCAATGCTAGATCGATCGATGGATGTGAAAGATTTGAGATTAATTAATGAGTAAGGATTATGGAAGAATGAATGCCAGAAATGACAAAAACAAGAAAGAAGAGGAGAGAAAAAGGGAAGACGAGGAAGAAGAAGACATGGCTGCTCTCCCAAGTCCGAGGATCCTGCGAAATCTGAAATCACGGCCTGTTCTCCTTCAACCTAAGAAATCTGAAGTTATGAACCCTATTTTTGTGGAGCTTCATTTTGTTTAGGTGTAACAGGATTATATAATCATATTAGTATTGCTACCGTTAGATTAATCTAATGGCTCATATAAAAGAATTCTTCACAGGTTGTCAAAATGACCTTAGGAGAGCAACTCTGTTCGCCCCAAATCGCTATGGATGTTTGTAACTTTGTGGTGGTTACTATATGTACATTTGTTTTCTTGACACCTCTCTCATATGTACATTGTGGCATACATGTCATCAGTTGTATATATAACTATATGACTGTAGCAGTCTCTCTTATGTAATAAAATAAATAAATTCATGGTTAGATACAACATGTTTCACCTAGGATTTTCTTGCAAATATACAGCATAGATCACCTAGTGTGGTGTTTGTGTGGGGGAAAAAAATCCATGGTGTACCTACAATATAGGACAGGCGTACCACCAGTTAAAAATTGGCATGAAAGGTGATGAATGATAGCAGAGGCAAACTTTTCTGTTTAATCTCTTTGCAGTTTGTTGGGATTATGAAATCCGTTTCGTTCCTGTTAGCTACAGGCCATCACATGTAATCTATGGAAAGTGCAATGAACATTCCAAAAAGGACAAGGCCAAATTACATTGCATGATTCTCTTGTACGTGCTCCACTCCGACTAGAGCAATGCCATATTGACACAATTTACATGCATGTATACTGACTCTACTAGTCCTCGTATAGTTTTGCTTTGGTTATCATCACAAAGAAAACTAGCTACAAGTATTTACACGTAAGTGTTGGAAGTTACCGCAGATATGAGAAGAAAAAAAAAGCATAATGATTATGAGAGAGAAAAAAGTTTATGATAAAATATGTGTTTATTGGCTTTAAAAGTGACTCTTGGAGTATCGATCTATTGAGAGAAGCCAAATTCAGGGAGTTAAAACTTCTAGACACAAAAAAAAAAAAAAAGGCGTTGTAAATGAATTTTGCTCGGATAAAGGAGAGCTAATAGGGGTATTTCAATTCTTATAGGGTAGTGTGGATGCAAATTTCTTCCTCCTCGATCTTAGACGATTTTGTACCTACAAAACAATTAACACCTTAGGTTAAGGCCAAGAGCCTCACGCGCCCATGATGAATGAGGGGGCTTTGGCCGAAGAACCTCTGATGCCAAAGTTAGAATTTAGAGAGAAAAAGTGTTTAGAGAATTTTGGGATTTTTGCCAAAGTGTTGGAATTGGCTTTTTGGTGAGAAATGAGAGTATATTTATAAGGATAGGAGGTGGCTAGGGTTTTTTGGGTTTGATTTAGGTTTAATTAGCCAATTTATTTGGCTATTAAACATAAAATGAATGTTTTGGTGGTTTTTTGTATAATTGGCTAATCAATGTCACAAAAAAGGAAAATTATGGTGAAAAAAGAAGGAAATGGCCGGCTCCCTTTGGAGAAGGGATAACCGGCATTTAGGGTGATTTTTGGGCTTAATTTGGTGATGTAATTAGCCTTTAATATATTGATTATATTAATTGGTTGAGGATGTTATGGAATGTTTGAAATAAATGGCTAATTGAATAAGGAAAAAATGAGGTAAAAACATATACAGAATGAAATAGGTTTTGAATTGTTACCCATTTTGGGTACTCCTAACTTGGTTGATGGATGATTCTCCACTGCTCGTGTGTAGGAAACCCGGTATGCCTCGAGGGTATTTTTGTCCTCTTTTGTCCAAAAGTCCACATGTCGCCTAGTGAATATTTTTGGCTCCACAGGTAGTGTTAGGAAGATTAAATTTGAAGACAAAGTTTTGAAAACAAAAAGACATGGAAGTTGATGATTGGTTTACTATTTAAACGTTGATAAACGTGTTTATTCCTATTGATGACACATAATTTAGTTTGCAAATTTACTCTTCAAATTTGGTCTCTCTAGCATTACTCATTCTTATATCTCAGCAGATTCCCCCTTCACGCACTTCCCACCCCCTTCCTCTCGGTTGAAGCATCAACAAGCTGTAAATACGACATTTGCCGGGGTTGCTATAAAAATAAACATGTATTCGCTACCGGTTATACGCTATAACTAGAGAGATGCTCCTATGTCTAGAGATGGGCAAATGCACATCGGTTATGGGTAATACCCACCCATTTAAATTTCACGGTTACGGTTATGGGTAACCGTTTAGATAAATAAACGGTTATGGGTATAACCGTTTACCCACGAAATTTAAATGGACGGTTATGAGTATTAACCACGGTTATAAATAGGTAACCATTTACCCATTTATTTTATATATGTAAAATTAACACAAACCATGTTCTCTATCGAACAAAACTTAGATCAATGCTATTGATTATAATGCATGATTTCTATAGCTAATATAATATGGTTTTCCTTAACCACTTTAAATTTCATGGTTCATTATATATATTATGTTAATATTTTACATTCCGAGTCAAATAACCCAAGAATACTGTCTTTTAACAGTTTTCGTAACCCAAGAATACTTAGCAAATTTTATATTACCTTCATTGCTAACAATTAAAAATATTTTCTGTAAACTATTATTTAAATTATTGGAATGATATATGGACTTAAAAAATTAAAATGCGAAAATGTATGATGAATGTACCAATAATGGTGTTTGATTGTTAGAAAAACAAACTTATGACAAATTTTTCTTTTTTAATTTTCAAGTTGTTAAAAAAACCCGTAGATGGGTGAAAAAGGAGTAGATGGTAAAAAAGAAAGGATAAATGGGTTTCAAAATGATAAATGGGTAAACGGGTACTAAACGGTTACGGTTAAATGGGTACACGGTTATGGGTATGGTTAACCATTTATAAACGGTTATGGGTGTGAGTATAACCGTTTAGACAATTACCCAACGGGTAAACGGTTATGCGGGTATAAGAATAAACGGTTATGGATAAATAACCGTAGTTACCCGCCCGCCATAACCGTTGCCATCCCTACTTATGTCACATGGACATTTTTTTTAATTTTTTTATAATTTTTTTTAATACAGACATTGAATTATAGAACTTTCCTCTTCATCCTTCTTCTGTTGGCCTGTTTTTGGACCAGCATAGGTAATGAAAAATTGGATGCTTTATTAAGAATTAATATACATGAAACCAAACTTTTTTTGGACTCCAAAAACAGCAACATCGTACAGTATCTTAATCTTAGCTTAGAAGGGGACATTACAAATTAATCACCAAGTAAGCTAATTAATATTTCTTCTTCTGCAGCCACTTGATGAAATATGTTATTTGTGGAAGTTTGGCCTAGCTTTCAGCTGTACAGCAAATACTATATTACTCTGCATCTGCATGTAATATGATAGCTGCATTGTATGGTTTTGTTTTGTTTACAATATATTGGGCATATGGAGTTTGATTCATTTCTGTTCGTCAGCAGTGTAACGAAGGAATCTCTCATCCAACACTTGAGACTTCAAAGTTCTCTGCATACACTTTTTTCAGCACATGAATTTCAGCTCAATAATTTCTTGTTCACCCTTTCATCTTATGTAAAAGTGTCTTGAGTAGGTCATTGAACACAATCCATAGTCTAAAAACTTTGGAATTCCATGATTTCCACAATAATTTGAACCAAAAATTTAGCATAGATATATAAATGAGATGTGTTCTTTTTAGGACTATAATTATATGTTTTAAAAAATACAAAGTGATGAATACGAGAACAAAGAACTTCCGATACATGAGTAACTTTTCCTAACACTTTAAGCTGCAGGTTAAAACATTGAACTCTTCTCTTCAATTCACTATACAGGATTCTCTAAAATTCTAAATATTTTGCGTGTTGTATTGACCAAAGTTTTGGATATGAGGAGCGAGTAGCAATATTCAAATATGTATGTTTAAAGGCCCAAGATGGTTCGTCCTCGTGTAATTTAGTGAACTGTGATGGAGAGAGGTCTGAAATTTGTTTATTCTTAACAGGTTTTTAATTTTTGATAAGAATCGATATTCTATTTTAATTATTTTAATTTATGTAAGGGGACCTTAAAAACTACCTATCATACGTGGCGTGCATGCCGAGTAACTAATGAGCTAATTGCGTCATTCGATTGTGTGCGGGACGTGCCAACTC